CTCTCTCTCTCTCTCTCTCTCTCTCTCTCTCTCTCTGTGTGTGTGTCTCTGCGTGTCGCTCTTTTTTGTGTCGCTCTCGATTGGTGTGTCTCTCTCCCCTCCCCCCCCATCTCTCTCAGGCCATGGACCGGCTCCTCCGCAATTCCCGGCGGTTCGAGGGAACTCTCTGCTTGTCGTCGGGGATTGCCATGTACCAGTCGACCCCGTACAGGTATTGGACAGCAGGGTGGGGGTTAGACCTCCCCGTGTGGAGCGCACTACGGGAGGGATGGGACGGGAGACATGGAAGTTATATCCGTAGCAGTTATCTCCGAGGCAGGCGTATTCACGAGATAATTGTGTGCCGAAGTGAATTGGGTTAATCCTATCCAAGTCTGCGGTGGGCTTACATAGTTTGGATTCTTTGTTCATTACAATGACAGTTTTCTACGACAACACCCAAGAAAAACGAGGGTTATCGCGAAATAGGGAAGGACATCCCACTTGTTTTGTTGCTATTGCACGTTGCATTTACTTGTACATGTGTGTGGTTTGCCGTTTAACCCCAAACGCGACACGCATCCTAGTCGACTTGGCTTTTTTCTTGGCGTGGTAAGTGGCGACTCAAGCGCAATAATAACACTCTCCAGAACGGGATACAAACTACAATCGCACATGCAATTCGGTCCCTCTAGTCTGCTGTATCTGAGAGTGATCGGTCGCAAGTTGGCCAGCGATTGTTGTCGACCAGTATACCCGATATTTTTCGCACCGATTCAACACTCGTTCGTTACTACCGACTTATCCTGCACGTGGTAATGACGACGATGGCTAGTATGTTGCCGTACTCCAACCCCAAGGGCTATGCATGTCGGAGGGGGAACAGATATATCGCTGAGCGATACCGTGAATTTGCGTTATCCCCGTGCATCCAAACAACTCGCCGAGAGGCGCGTTATTGTTGAACGGCTACATTGGAACAGCTATATTACCTCTCTTCTGATGGGTGTAAGAGTAGCACCCCGAGTCCCAAACGCAACAAAGCCGCAGCAGTGGTGCTTCTTTTGTTGGCGAAGTTTCATTTCAGGGTCCCGGGAAACCACGCCTCCGAGCTCTATCTCACTTCTACTTTTCAGGGGTTAAGGCTATTGGTTCGAGGGAAAATGCTCCCCTTGAAAAGGCCCTTTCGAGGGAATCTTCTCTTGGTTTTGTTTGTGGCATGAACGGCCCGTGTCTTTCGATACCTTACAGATGTACTGACACCGCTAGGCAAACACGCGGTCGTAATCTCCCTCGAAACCCCCTCTCGAAGTAGTGAATCCGACTAATGTTATCGTAGGGTTGTAGGCGCGATGCACACCGGTTCTTCCGGCTTGATTCCTCAGTTCGTTCCGCTTCTCCCGCCCACCGCCTTGTGGCTGCGAGCGTATACAGCAACGGGAATTTGCGGCGGTAGTGCCCATGCCCGGGAGGCCGCGTCTGCTTCTTCCAGGGGCCAGAAGAGTGTCGCGGCTGCGGAGACAGCGGCAGCCGACAGACATCTCCACCACGACCGAGGCCAAATCGACGTCGGAGACTCGCTTTCCACGCTGCCGCCGCGCAGCTCCGTGGCCAACGCGAAGGAAGGTAGCGCTAGCGCGCTGACGGTAGTCGCCGGGGCCGAGAGAGACGGCGCCGGTACCAGCGGGCTCGCCACCAGCCCGACGGAGTGCTGGCGCTGCCACCGAGAGATGGCCATTCTCGATGCCGACGATCGTCATCACCAGCGTGTCGCTGGGAGCTACACCGGTGCAGCCTCTACCTCTCCCTACGACGCCCGCGGGGGTCTTGACCACAACTCGTACTATTCTTCCTCTGGGGCCGATAACGAGGCTGCCGGTCCCCGCGGTGACACGGCAGGCGGCGGCGTGACCTACGCCTCCCGCACTGGCGTTGCACCACGGCAAGACCAGCTCCGCCGACCACCCTCTCCCGGGGTGGCGGAAACGCTGCTCGCCGAGGCCTCGGCGTTTGGAACGATGACCACCGACGGCAGCCCAACGAGCGGCGGCGGCGGCGGGGGCGTCGATGGCGACGCCTCCCACGCTCCTCGGGGTCGCGCTGATGTTGCCGGGCGGCCGGTGTCGCAAGCAGCGGTGCAAGAAGAAGAAGAAGAAGAAGCGAACCAAATTTTGGAGCTGTCGTTCTTGCACGTCCGCCGACACAACGCCGGGGAAGGAAAAGAAAGCGCTTCGGAGAACCTGGCCGCCGCACGTGAACGGTCGAGCAGGGGCGGCGGAGGCGGCCGCCGGCACGGCGGTGCAGGTGGCAGAATTTCCGGGAGGTCACCCAATCAGAGGAGCCAAAGATACGGGGTGGTACGAGGCGGGAGAAGAAGAGGAACGACAGGCGCTGCGGGGGGAAGAGCGAGAAAAAAACACGACCGGGCGAGGGGCGGGGAGGGGGCGGGTGGGGGGTCTTCCGCCACGGGTCAGCAGCGGCGCTTCTTTTGCCCAGGAGACGAGGCACGTACTCGTGTTAGGTGCAACGGGAAAACATGGGGGCAATTCACGATTGTGGAGGTTTCGCGAGGACTGTCAGAAGGCGCAGAAATTGGATGGCGCCTGATCGGATAGTACGGGGTGGCAAGGTTCCACTTCACCCTCGAGGCTTGACTCGAGAGTATTTCTTATTTATGAGACGGAGGGATTCCCGGCCATCTCTTCACTGTTGTGACTTTTCCCATCATTTTTATTCTGTCGGTGGCCTTAGCATCGAAGTCATCGGTTGTTTCATAGGTCTGGATAGATAGGCGTAGAGCGAGATCGACCACTACCGCCGCACTACACGCCCTCGGTGCTGACGCGATTGCCGCATGTAATTTCCGGTTTGCGGTGCCGACTCTGGATACCCTGGGGGCACATCAATCTGCCGTAGTAGGTTTGCGTAAGATACCACTCCCCCTGGACCGTTTTTCAAAGATCGTAAACTCTGCGGCAAGCATGATGACTGAGCTGGAAATGGTGACGTTGGAATCGCCTCGTAGAGAGATCTCCGCAAGCGTATCACTTCATCTTGGCGGTCTCTTCATTGCGAAGTATAGTCGAACGTTGAAAATCGGTCCACGGGGTGTGGAACCTTAGGCAACCTACGGTATCGCTCTCGTACAGGTTCCAATCGAGCTCTCCAAGAGGTGTATGCAAACAATGTCGCGGGGAGCTCTGATTCTCATGTTTCTTGCGTTCGTGTGATCTAAGTTTTTTCCCCTCACAATCTCTTCCCGAGTTGTACCGCTGTTTGCAGGTGCCCGAGTACGTGGTTGGTCGGAGGCGGATGCTCTGGGCCCAGAGGTCGGCGGAGCGGTACGCCCGGCGCGTCTCCGACCTGAAGAGGAGGCGGGAAGAGATCGCGTCCCCTCGCCGGCGAAAGATGGCCGCGGCCGCCGACAGAGAGAAGCGGAGGGCCCACAGAGAGCTGGAGAGAAAAGAGAGAGTGAGCCGATCGAGCCACCCTGGTTTGGACTGATGTGTGCACCCCGGCCCACGCGGACCGATCGTGCACCCACCCTCTCTGAGTGAATTGGCCACCGACGGCAACAGCCGTCTTCGTTCTACCCACCATGCGTTGTCTCTATCCCCCCCTCCCCCCGGTAGGCCACCGCGGCGTGTTTTTCTATCCACACCCCTGGCTTGGTTTGGTGTGTGCACCCCGGCCCACGCGTACCAATCGTACACCCACCTCTCCGAGCAATTCGGCCGACGACGACAACACCGGCCTTCGTTCTACCCACCTGCTTTTTCTGTCTATTTTCCCTAAGATCCGAAATTCACCGTTGAGGTGGGGCCGAGACGGTCGTCCGTGCTCCAGCCCCGCCGCGCTCCAGGCCACCCAGAGCAGCACAGAACCGTCTGCCGCTTCGTCACCGGCCCGAGATTATCATCAGCGGAGACCCTCGACGGCCGGCCCGTACGGCGGCCGGTCGTGCCTGAAGTGCGATCCCCGGCGGTGGTACCGGGGGGAGTTCATGGGGGAGTTGGGGGGGCTAGGAGCGGGTTCGCCGCCACCGCCGCAGAGAGGAGGGCGGCAGGAGGACGACGGGGAGGGGGGACGGTTGTGGAACAAGACCGTGTCCGACAGGTAGGTGTGTGCTTCTTTCCCCGCGGCTTTTCCTCCCAAGTCCTCCCGCGCCATTCAAAGCACTTGTGGCAGCTCACCGCCTGCAAGTGAGATGTACAGCATATCCACCAGTACCCTTGCTAGATGTACAGCATATCCACTGTGTTGCAAGTCGGCGCTAGCTTATTGGACAGTGGGAATGCTGTACATCTAACAGCATGCAGCTACGTACGTTTCGTTCGGGAGGGTGCAGCAGAGAGTGCGCTCGCAGACCAGCCCGTCGCCGTTCCCATCATTCCGAACAGCCCTTTTTTTTCTCCTTCTGCGCCGCTCTCCAGATACCGGTTGCTGCGTCCTTGGACGACGTCCCCCCTCGACGAAGGCGAGCTGTGGTGGGCCAAGCCCCGCCTGTGTGGTAGCGGGACGGCGGTGGTGGTGAAGGTCCTGGCCGACGGGAAGCGCGACGCGACGGGCTGGGAGGCGTTCATCCGGGAGTGGGGGGTGCTCGAGTACCTCCAGGTCAGCGGGGCTGAGCTGATCTTAGGCGACTTGTTTTCGATACCCCGCTTCGGCCGTCTTTTCTTGCGAAGAACAACTCCCCCCAAACCACTTGTTAGTCACATTTGGGGTGTTGTCCAGTGCGGGCTATTCTTTTGCTTGACGGCAAGATTTCTACCTGTGAACATGGAATCCCAACTCCACATACACCACTAGAGCTCAACCACGGTATCTTCATGTGGGAGCCCTTGTATCTCGACCAGAAACCCACATACACAGTCTTGCACGAAATAGCACGAAACAGGAAATGAAACGGGAAATGTTTGAAAGAGTTGGGAAATGTCCAGCACAAAGAAGATATACTTCGGGAATGCCCTCGCCGGTAGTCTGGGGGGAGCTCTTGACTATCGGAGCCCGACAACGACAAAGTTTGGGTTACTGAACGTGCAGCCCATCACAGAGGTTGATTGTGCATACGACTCTGCCTTAGACCATGACCTACCACGACCCTCTCTCTGCCAGGAAGAAGGCCGGGTCAGTGGTAGGGAGCCGCTGAGCGTCGGCCTTGTGTGCGCCTTCGAGACGGAGCGGAGCCTGGTCTTGTCGATACCGGCGGGCTCAAGGACTCTCAGGGAGGTCGGCCAGCACATGCACAGCGAGAGGCGGAGCAAGAAGAGCCGCATTTCTGACGGCGGTGTGTTTAACGATCAGGTGTGGCACGTAACAACGATGATGATGATGATCTGTCACCAATCGAAAGCCAACGCTCGTTGCGAAGCTGCTGCACCGAGGGCGGTAGGCTACCCCACCACGGGCGCTCGGCGTTGTGCAGCCTGACGGTTAATGCTCGAAGCTACCGCTTGTGGCTTTGGGGAAGCTATTCAAACAGGGGCAGAAAACTCGCAATAAGACGGACGAATAGCAACAACAAACCATTTCCCGGCCTACGCTGAGATGCCTTTCCACCACCACTCCGTGCGCGTGATCGTGTGATCCGCGTGAAGACCCCCCCCCCCCCCCCCCC